TTGATTGATTGACTGATTAGTAGTGGGGGGGTCGCCTCCCCCCCGCGAACACACACACACACACACACACACACACACACACACACACACACACACACACAAACGATCACGACCATTTTTTGTCTTTTTTACTGATTGATTGATTGATTGATTGATTAGTAGTGGGGGGGTCGCCTCCCCCCCCAAACACACGCACACACACACACACACACACACACACACACACACACACACATGAAAGATTGCAGGCCAAAATGAAAGAAGAACGGTCACCACGAAAGAGCATGCATTCAGTATAGCGCCCATGGCCGCAAAATGGACACATAGTGTCCGGATGCGGAGGGTGCCTGCAGTCAGGAACGGTGGGACAGTCCTCTGCACACATGGATGCAGAAACCATGTCATTTTAGTGATTGTGACAGAGACGATGGCGGCTACAGCCAAGTGTAACAATGTTTGTGGTTGTGCAAAGGAGAAGGTCGCAGAGTGTTGGTACATTATCTTGCTGCAACACGGGGCCAGAGGAATGATCTTCGACATAAAAGAGATTGCGGACGGTTTGTTGTGGCAAGAAAACAGCATCATTTTGTAAGAAATCGGTGACATCAATCATGGCATGGACCATGGTGCCGTTGTCCCACAGCTCCCAGTGGTCAGAGGCATGTACAATGGCCATGTAATGGCCAGGGCCGTGCACAATGCAGGCAGAGACGTGGGATGAAGGATTAAACCACTCACCTGCTCGAGCATTGCATAGTTCAAGTTGACGGTCCCTCATTGCTACTTGCAGGACAACAATGGTAAAGCCTACTTCGCTGGTATAATTACAATCCTCTGGCTGTCGTTGGGGAAGATCAGCATCAAGCTGAAGGCCAGTTGCAAGGAAGTCTGATGGTGTACAAAAAGGGCGGTGGAGAATGTGAAGACAAATATTAGTTGCTGCCAGACCACAGAGATTGGTGAGGTTCTCAGACTGGTTTGTTGGATGCTGACCAACAATTTGCAGATCACCCAGATAGTGTTGCAAGCCCAAACTGTGTTGGGTTGTTTGCTGGTGGCGGAGCACAAAATTGTGGTTCATCCAAACAATGCTGGTCAGCCATTTGCAGATCCCCCATGTGGCCTACGCCTTGTGGGGTCAACTGCAATCCAGGCAGATCATGTTCCAATCCCTCAACGTTTTAGGGTTGCATCCTGAGTAAGGATTGTACCTGGAGTCGGGAGTGTACTCTAGGCAACGGCTGCATCCTGAGTAGGGCTGGTGGCTGCCTGCAGGCAGCTGGACTGTCTGCAAGAGGCATAGGAGCGGATATTGTCGTTTGAAACAAAGGAACTGCAACAACCTGTGGAGGCGGCACAAAGAGAATCGGGGCAGACAAAGAAACAGCTTGCTGATCCCCGGACAAGTAACGATGTCGCGGATGTCATCGGTGATACACAACAAGAGGAGTAGTGGTGTTGCAAACAGAAGCTGAACTTGTACCTGGCAACCCAGGTGGAACAATGGGAACAATGGAAACTGGAGAGTCCGTTCGCAAGCGAGACCGTGGAGGAGATGGGGGTGGTGAGGAGGAACGCAGTCGTCTACATCCAAGCACAAGCAAAGATGAGAAGGGAGGTGCATTGGGCAAGATTTCGGAGCGAAGGATGTGAGCGGCAGAGAGATTGTGATGTTCTTTGCATTGGAGCTGCATGACAGTAAGCTGTAGCAATAAAACTAAAGTAGGGGGAATTATAGTTAGGGAAACTGATGTACTGAAAACTGCAGCAGTGGAAACCGCAGCAGTAGAAACTGCAGCAATGGAAACTGGCGCAGTGGAAACTGGAGCAATGGAAACTCCAGCAGTGGGTACTGCAGCAGTGGAAACCGCAACAGTGGACACTGCAGCACTGGAAACTGGAGCAGTGGAAACTGAAGCAGTGGACACTGCAGCAGTGGAAACCGCAACAGTGGACACTGCAGCAGTGGAAACCGCAACAGTGGACACTGCAGGAGTGGAGACTCCAGCAGTGGAAACTGCAGGAGTGGAGACTGCAGCAGTGGAAACTGCGGTAGCAGCAGATGAGTAAGCAGRGGCAGGACGAGAGCATCATGGGGGCGAAGAAGAAATTGGATGATACAAGGACCATCGCAACATGCGTCAGAACCACTGAGAGAGACGCGTCACATGTGTAGGATAGTGACGTTGGCGGGAGCGTATGTAGCGGGTCCACCCCTTAGCAAAGGTTGGTGGGGAATGCCCACGAGAAAGCATATGACGAGTGTTGTTGCCGCAGTTCGAAAGTCCTGTCAATTGTTACAGATTTGTTCGAATCTGGTCAATTGCCCAGTGAACACACCAGCCAGTTGATGGGAAGGGATGTTGGAGGTTGCACTTGGATAACGAATGATAGGGAAGTCCCAAGCAGCCGCTTTATCAAAGACGCTCATGCGAAGCGAGCCATCGGAACGAACCCGTAGCTGCATACCTAAAAAGGTGCAGGGGCCATCTGTAGTTGTAGTCTCCTTCCACTCAAGCCCATAGTGTTCTGGTGGAGGAGGTAATTGTCCCCATGAAAGAACATCATCAATGAGGCGATAGGTGAAGGCATATTGTTGAGCACCTTGAAGATCATGTTGACGAATGTCATCAACAAAGCGTGCTTCATCCCAATACAGCGTCATATTAGAAATTTTTGGGCCAGCATTCGTTCCCATTGGAATACCGATAATTTGTTTCCTAAACGTGCCATCTCTCGTGTATAGAAAAGTGTTTTGTACAACAAAGCGAAGATGTTGGAGAATCTGAGAAACAGAAAGGGTATTCGGGCCTGAATCAGTTGTCCATTGGCCACAACTAGGTCCGCGAATAACCATGTCATATATCTTGGACTACAGTGCTGGAGGCAGTCATTTGTTCATTTCACAAATTTGTGGAAGCGTTGCTGGGAGCTTGTGCAGACCAGCGACCTGGACGAAGAAGAACGCTGAAGGGAGGAAGAAGACCAGCACCCTGGCTGCAACAGACCACCATAGCGAGGAGAGAGGATACGAAGTGTTTGGTGGTCGTAACCACCCGTTTGCAGTGAGACACACTGCAGAGGCATTCAAGGTAGATCTTGGACATTGTAGTGAGAGGAACAGTGAGTGAGGAACAATGAGCGAGGAATAGTGCAAGTGAAAGAGAGAGAGAAGTAGAGTATAGAGAGAGAGTCAGCGAGAGAGAAAAGGAGGAGGAGGAGAGAGTCAGGTACATACCTGAGGAGTGTTGCAGAGGTTGAAACTGCTTATTGCCGAACTTTTTCAAGTGTATCTTGCGAGGT